GACAAAAAATGGGTATAATTTTGATTCATTTGCTATTGTGGCTATTATTGTGTTGGCTGTTGTCATTTTATTAATTTGACAGTTTTAGGGAAAAGAGGTCAGTGCCTCTGAGTAAAGAATCAGGTATTGCATCTTTTAAAAATTCTTGTGACATATCAGTGTACCTCTTGCAGCACCTGTTGAAAATTGCTGCTCTAACAGGTACAATTTTGAATTGCTCTTTAGTTATGTAAGTGGTGTATTAGGTAGGACCCCTTTGGTTATTGGAGAAAATCAGTTTGAATTACTTTATGCAAAAGAAGAAATCTGTTGACTTTCATAACTACCTGGTAGGAAAATCAGGGACAAGTGGAAGTAGAACTTTGAAGGCAGTCTGATTAATATCTGTCCGTACCTCTGTTGATCCCTGCTGCTCCACCCGCCCTGCACCCTTTCTTGTTATTGCTGTCCAGCTTGCTTTTATTGAAAGGCATATACATAGTGTAGTTGTTGTTATGAATTTGTTTTCTGAATCCAGACTGCTTCTGGTTCTGCCTCTTAGGAGCAGTACGACCTTGGACAGGTGAGATCTTATGTTTCTTCTCTGTTAAAAGAGGTCAGTAACATTCCTGTCTCAGGATTGTTGTGATGATTACATTAATTGAATTAAATGAAACATGAAAGATTAAAATACTGCCTGGCAGATAAGTGCTATGTAATTGTTTGGTATAATTATCATGAGGATGTTCTTCTTCTCCAGATGGCATTCTCTATAGGAGAGGACATGGGACTCCTGTTAGTCCATATTTACATCTTACCCAACTCCCGTTAGTATTAGTTTCCTAGAGATTCCATAACAAATTACCACAAACCAGGTGGCTTCAAACAGCAGAAATTTTTTCCCTCACAGTTCTGGATGCTAGGAGTGTGAAATCGAGATGTCACTAGGGCCACATTCCTTCCAACAGGTCCAGAGGAGAAGGCTCCCTTGCCTCTCCCAGCTTTTAGGAGTTGCAGTCATTTCATAGTTTGTTGCTGCATCACTCTACTTTCTGCCTCCATTTTCACAAGGTCTTCTCCTCTTCTGCCTTAAATATCTTTGTCTGTCCTTCTTTTTTTAAATTATTTTATTTTTTTTCCATCACGGTTCTTCCCCCAAACCCTCTTCCACCTCCACCCACGCCCCTCTCCCCAGCAATCACCGCATCGTCATCCTGTCCATGGGTTCTTTCTGTGTTTTTCCCTTTTTGCTCAATCCCTCCATGCCCAGCGCCCCCACCTGCCCCAGGGCTGTCAGCCTGCTCTCTATGAGTCTGTTTCTATTTTAGTAGTTCAGTTGGTTCATTAGATTCTACGTATGAGTGAAGTCATATGATATTTATCGTTCTCTGACTGACTTATTTCACTCAGCCTAATGTTCCCCACGTGCATCCATGCTATTGCAAAGGGTAAAATTTTCTTCTTTTTTACAGCTGCGTAGTACTTCATTGCGTAAATGTATCATAGCTGTCTTATTCACTAATCTACTGATGGACACTTGAACTGCTTCCAAGTCCTGGCTGTTGTAAATAGCACTGGATGTATATGTTCTTTCAAATTAGTGTTTTGAGTTTCTTTGGATAAATTCACATAAGTGGAATCGCTGTGTCATAAGGCAGTCCCATTTTTAATTTCTTGCTATGGTCAATAGACATATAAGAAGATGCTTAATGTCACTAATCATCACATTCAAATTAAAACCATAATGAGATATCACCTCACACCTGTAAGAATGGCTGTTGTTAACACATCAACAAGGAACAAGTATAGGTGAGGGTGTGGAGAAAAGGGAACCTTGTTGGTGGGGATGCAGACGGGTGCAGCTACTGTGGAGGGCAGTGTGGAGTAACTTCTTTGTCTTTTTCTTATAACTTAGGATGTTCTTATCTTGAGATACTTAATTTAATTACCTTTGCAAAGATCCCTTTTCTAAATATGGTAACAATCACAGACTCTGGGAATTCAGACACGGACATAACCTTTTTTGTGTGTGGGATCTTTTTGGGTGTGGGGTGGGAACAATGTCACGATTTAACTCACGATACCACTAAACAGGAGAGAGGCATTTTGCTCTACTGCTCTGCTGTAGACTGAATGTTCGTACACCCCTAAAAGTCTTATCTTGAAACCTGATTCCCAATGTAATGATACTTGGACTTGGGGTCTTTAGCAGGTGATGAGTGCCTTGTGAAAGAGACTGCAGAGGGATTCCTTGCCCCTTCTGCCCTGTGAGGACACATTGAAAACATGCCTGTCTATGAACCAGAGGGTAGGACCTCATCAGACACAGAATCTTCTGGCACCTTGATCTTTGACCTCCCAGCCTCCAGAACAGTGAAAAAATAAAATTTCTATTGTTTATAAGCTCCCAGCCTGTGGTAGTCTGTTATAGCAGCCAGAATGGACAAATACACTTATCATTTTGAACAATCCTAAGGAAGGACCTTTCTGGACAGACTGAGTGGTGTTTATGGATGTTCATGGACTAACCAGTCCAAAGCGACTCCTAGTAGTGCAGGTGCAGAAATGTTGGCATTATGATTGACCAGTCTCTCATCCTTCACTTGGTCCTTTGTTAAATGAAAGGGGTCAGACAGTACAAACATAGTCTATGAGACAAGTGTAAGCAGAGTATGCACTTAAATATATATTTACATAGAATAGATATGTATTTCTCTTTGTTTTTCCAGTCTTGGTCTTATTATGGTCTACTAGATTATTAAACATATTCTCAAGCTGGATAATATCTTTTTAAAAGGACAGAGCTTCAGACTACTTTTTGTGAGTCCCAAGCCTTTCTGGTATTAAGTTGTTGCTGGGAAGCTGTTGATTCAGGAAACTGCCTTACTGACACGCATTGCAGTGCTTAGAAACTGAAGTTCTCCATAAGGCAGGCTTCCCAGGAGTTTTGTTTTGTTCCCTAAGTGGTGATCCATCAATGTAATCCTCTTTGAAGAAGAAATTACTTACTGTAATGTTTCTTTTCTGAAAATGCATTATCATTGATAGATGGCTGTAATCGACTCTTCCATTAGTTTGTTGGTAATACATTCTCTTTTTTATTGTTACAGTTTCTAGTATTTAGATTCAGAGCTAGAACTTTAGAGTCACGAGGTATCATCAGCTCTCAAATAGTCTGAACTTAAAACTCAGATATCTGTTCCAGTTTTAGTTACTTATACTAGTACACTAAGAATGAACAGGAATCTATAATAATCCTTTTAGAAACTGCTAAGAACTAATTGACAGTCTCCCTCCTCTCAGGGAAGAGAAAGCTAGTGATACATAATCAATTCCAGATCAGTCTGTGAAGATTTACCATGGTAAAAAGTGATAATAGGTCATTTCTTAAATATTATAATTTTATGCAATAAAAATATCTACCTATTTGAACAAGTACGTATTTGAAGAGAACTACGTAGCAAACAATTTTCTCCATATGTCTACTGCAAAGACTACTTGATAGTATCCAGGTGCCAGGGCAAAGTCAAGGAGAGTTCTGAGGCTCTGTCACCCAAGCTAAATCAGGACTATCAGAGTGGAAAAATTAGTAAAGGAAGGGAGAAAGCAATGGGGCAATTAATGAGAATATAAATATGAAGCTGGGAATATGAATGAATTTTATTCTGTCATAATGTTTGAAACAGGGAGTGCCTAGCTAAGCAGCAGACAACAATGACAGATTATTTTAAGAGCTCAGTCTTTTTATTCTTGACAATTAGGCAGTTGATTTAATATTTGATGATTGTAAATACTTGTGCTAATATTATTTACACATTTTTATAAGATATCTGTAGAACGGTAAATGTATTCCTAAGTGTTGGGTATAAACTTTTACTAGGTAAGTTAACATACCATCTGGTTTTTCCTATGTTTTGATCAGTATTTTTTAAATGTGATTTTGAGCTATCCGTTATGTCCTCCTCCTTACAAACTCATTCTCTAGCCTCTACTTATTTGATGATATGATGTTTGTCCTATCACTCACATAAACCTCAGTAAATATTACGTGACTTTACTCCCTAGTAAAACCTTTCTTCTTTTACCCTATTGGTCACAGAATTATCTTGAATTTAAACTCACTGGAGGGTAGCAGTTTTCTTGGTCAGGAAAACGAGAAATGTGAGACAAGTGTCTGTCTATGAATAAATTTCTTAGGCCTGAACCCAAAGGTATACACAAAAGCAGGGCATTATAGAAAGAGCCTTTTACAGAGTGCTCAAAATTGTGTGTTAGTTTGAAGTTGTCGATGTTTGGGAAAACTGGTGGCACGTAGGTCATCAGGTTTCCCTGTACTTGTGTCAGTGATGTTTATGCCAAGCTACCCACTAGAACAACTTGGGGAGCTTTTAAAAGGATGTTAATGCCAGAATTGTACCCCCACTGATAGTGATTAAGTTGTTAGGATAGACCCTGGACACCTGTCTGTGTGCCTATCTATCTATCATCTATCTATCTATCTATCTATCTATCTATCTATCTATCTATCTATCTATCTAGTTCCCTGGGTGATTCCAATGTTCAGCCAGTGTTGGAAACCACTGAGTTACATGAACAGAGAATATATATTAACAAAATCTCAAATAGTTTTTAGGTAAAACTCTTCTTGCCTCACCTTTGTCGATTTGATATTTGTTTTTCAAAGTAATTTACATATTTAGTAGTTTAATCAGTATTTGACTGGCTGCATAAGCTGATCACACAGTACCAGAATGGGATATAAATGAGCAGTACTCTACTTTGGCTAAACATTATTTCAGGAACTTTCACAAATCTTAATGTCCAGGTCATACCCAAACCAGTTAATTCAGAATCTTTAGGGATGAGACTTAGGTGTTAGTAATTTTTTTTAACAGCTCCCTAGGTGATACAAATGTAAATCCAAGTTTGAGAACCACAAATCTAAATAGATATTTGTTGATTTTATTTTCTTGAAATGGTTTCAGTCAAGCACAGTCTCACTCTAAGTCTTTCTTTTTCAGGATATTATTGATAGGCTTATAATTTTGAATTCTGAAGCTAAAATTCGTTCTTTATTCAACTATGAACAATCACACATCTTTGGCCTACGGTAAGATGCTAAATTTTATTTGAGATATATTTTGATATTGCAAAAGCATGGAAAAAACATACGTTCTGTATCTTTTCAAGAAGTATTTAAAATAAACTAACTTTAAAGCATATTTAAAGGTAATTTGCCTTCCTGTAATATTGCACAATGTAAAGTATAGCCATTATATTTTTATTATGGCCTTTGTCTACATTTAGGTTCTGTATTATTACAGTGTCTTCTACTTTTTTTAGATATATAGAGGCATTTTGCAGACTGTACAGTTTACTCAGGAGCTTCCTGGTTTGGTATTAGATTAGACTCCTACCATAATATAGTCTGGAAAGAGGCATAGAAATAGTTGATTTATCTTGAAGCTCAAATTTTACTCTTTTATGTTAATCATATTATTTAACTTCAGTCTCCCAAGTTTTAAATCTTTCTGGCTGAGTGTACAAGGTCTGTCCGGGAAAAGTCCAGCCATTGTTAATATAATGAGGAGGGTTTGCACAACATTGATGTGAACTGGAAGCCAAAGAGAGTGGACTGGAATTTGTATGCATGAACAATGATGACTTCACTGTACTAGTCAGTGGGGGTGATAGATGCTGTTGAGTGAGCGTGTGTATTGTGTGGCTATTGCATTCAAAATGACTGAGAGAGTAGAGCAATGAATCTGCTTCATAATGAGTGTTAAGCTTGAACATTCCTCTGTGGAAACCATTCAGATGATTCAGAAGGCTTTTGGGAATGACTCAATGATTGCAATGCAAATAAAAGTGGCATAAATGCTTCAAAGATGATAGAGAATCTGTTGAAATCATCCATGTTCTGGAAGGCCTGTAACAAGCAGAACACATGAGAATGTTGAGCGTGTACATGCTGCAGTTAACAAAGATTAAAGATTGGCAACTAACAGTGCAAGAACTAGAAGCTGATATGGGGGTTCTAAAAACTACTGTGACTGAGATTTTGACTCAGGATCTTGGCATGAAACATGTTGTGGCAAAATTCGTTCCTCAGTTTCTGCTACCAGAACAGAAGGAAAATCGTGCTGCAGTTGTTAATCACTTGATTCAAACTGCTACCAATGAATTAGATTTCCTCAAGAAGGTCATAACCAGAGACGAATCATGGGTCTATGGCTATGATCCAAAAACCAAGGCCCAGTCGTCCCAGTGGAAGTTGCCTAGTTCACTACGCCCAAAGGTGTGGCAAAGTTGCAGCAAGATCAAGACCATGTTTTGAACAGTGGAAGAGACGCAGGAAAAACTGCGTGAGGTCCCAAGGTACCTCCGTTGAGGGGGACTGAGGCATCATTGTCCTGCGTACAATAGTTCTTGTATCTTGTATCTTTTTCTATGAAATCTTTATTTTACTTAGTGTTTGGCTGGATGCTTTCTGGACAGACCTCGTATATTCCTTAAGGTTTTATTTAGCATGTTCAAATGGCTGGGGTTGGAGTAAGAAGGGTAAGTAGAAGAAGTGTTTGGGCTACAGCAACTCATAAAAATTCTTAATTTTTTGGTCACATTTGGACATATAACTGGCTTCTTTATTTACACTTTAATACCTGTAAAAGCAGCTGAATTAAAGAAATTTTCCTAGGTTTGTGATTTTTTTTCTTCTTTCTAATAGAAAAATAACCTTTTCAAGAATGAGGGAGGGGATCAAGGAGAATGCTTTCCCTAAGAAATAAAGCAATTACCTTTTTAAAATTAGAATTATCTTATAGTAATGTATATTATAGATCTTGTACCCAAAATGTTTTAACCATTCATTAATAGCTGAGCTTCACTTCACCATTCATTAATAGTTCAAAGAAGATAAAAAAAATCTGCATCTGTTACAGTCTGTTGGCTATTGTGCCCTTTATCTCTAAATGAATTTCACACTAAATTTTAACTTTCTGTGTATAACATCTGATATATCACATAGCAAAGAGTGATGAAGAATATTAGGAAAAATTCATTCAGTAGAACCTCCTTTTGCATAGCAGTTATGTTTCTGAGTTTTTTCATTGTAGAACATAGATTTTCGCCTTTTGTTATTGATATATTAAATGAATTTCTTCCTATTTTCTTTATATTTTGATAGAATAGTGTTTTTCTTTATTATTCTGGCAAAAAATTTAACAATAGGATTTTAAGTTATGTACAAAGCAATCCAAAAGTAAAATGGTCCTGGCAATAAAATACATTAATTTTCATAGTATGCGCTTTCTCATAACATCCAAATGGAGTCAGTCTATCCTACACTAGAGAATTTGTCATATCATTGCTGATATATTTAATGGAATTGTGCAGTGCAGTAGTTAGCAGCAGGGGCTCTGGAGTCAGACTGCCTGTTATTCACTAGTTGTGCAAGGTGAGATCTCAGTTACTCATCTGTACAATGGGGAAAATCATGTATTTTGCAGAGTTATTGTAAGAATTACATATGAAAAGTAAAAGGGCTTAAAACAGTGTTTGTCTTGTAACAAGCACTATAAAAACGTTAGTAATAAATAGTAGTGGTTCTTTAAGTGTTGGTTTTTTTATTTTCTTGCTCTTTACTATTTTTGTGTTTTACTAGGAAATAAATTTTGTCTTCATTTTTTCAGTATTCCAGTGGTCTTCTACATGCTGCCAAATAGTTCGCTATGTTACTATTCAAAGAAAATGACAAAATCACTTTCTGAGGACGTTTGTATTTTATGTGCCTTTTAACAAGTTTTTAATTGATAAGAAATCTATTTCATTGTATTTTGAAGAACTTTCGTATAATATTGGGTTGGCCAAAGAGCTCTTTTGGTTTTTTTCGGTAAGATGGCTCTAGTAATGCCTAGTTGTCTTTAACTTCATTTGAAACAATTTTGTTAGATTGTATTTTGACAGCTCTTATATAAGTGTGCATTAAAAAAACTTAGCAAATTGGTGAATTTTTGTGTAGCCATTTTAATATTTAAGATGGAGGAAAGCATGAAACATTTTTGGCATATTATGCTTTGTTATTTCAAGAAAGGTAAAAATGCAACTGAAATGCATAAAAAGATTTGTGCAGTGTATGGAGAAGGTGCTGTGACTGATTGAACTTGTCAAAAGTGGTTTGCGAAGTTTCATCCTGGCGATTTCTTGCTGGATGATGCTCCAGGGTCTGGTAGACCAGTTGAAGTTTATAGCAATTAAATTGAGACATTAATTGAGAACAGTCTACATTATACCACATGGGAGAAAGCAGACATAGTCAAAATATCCAAATCAATAAAGTTTTTGGTGAAAATGAGACATGTATTTTATTTTATGGAAAAGTCTAAATGGATTTTTTGGACCAACCCAATATTTGATTCAGTTTTATTTTTAAGTCATACTTTAAAGTTATTTACTTTCTGTTTTTTTCTAATTTCAGTCTTGCATTGGTCATTGAAGTCCAATGGAGTGATAATTTAGATCACTGCTTTGTATTATATAAATATAGTGTTTCTATGTGTTTTGGATTCTTACCTGTATCTTTCACTACCATAGTGTTTATGTTTGTTTCTAATTGTACCATTCCCTTCAGATCATCTCATTAATGTGTTTAAGTTTTACATTTAGCATTCCTTGTTGCATTTACTTCATGTTTGCCCCTGCTTCAAAAATTTTGAAATAGCATAAGGGTAAGTTTGATACAACTCCTTTAGGTTTATGCAACACGTAGATGAAGCTATATGGGACTTAGTAAAATGTAGATTGTCACATTTCAACACCATCACATTATTTTTAAAAATTTGAATTTTTATTTGCGAAGATCTTACAAATCTTATATGGTAAATCTATCCTTTACTGCTGTTGGTGTCAGTATGCAGACATGCATTCACATATTCCTTCTTAAAATGAAAGATCAAAATACCTACAAAAAGAAATTTCTTTGACCTTACGTCTCTCTCCAGCTACTGTCCTATTTCCGTGCCTCTCACCATAGCAAAAGACAACCTGTACAAACTGTTGCCACTTACTCACCTCCCTTTGCTTCTCAGCCCACATGGATTTGACAATGATTCTATAACTCTCTCAGAACTGCACATCCTGCTCATTTTAAGATTACTTGTAACTTTATAATGATGAATCTAGTGGATTATTCTCATTTTAATTCTCAATTTACTGTGACTATCAGCAGCATTTGATATAATGGACCATGTCTTTAGTGTGAATGTTCCAGTCTCTTCACTTCTGTGATACCACACACTTCGATGACTGCTGTTTCTTGTCCTTTGCATTCCCGAAGGAAGCTCTGAATGTTGTTGACTACTTACTGGTGGTCCCAGGCCCACTTTTTGTCTTCACAGTAGTCCTCTCCTATCCACAAGAGCCCCCCAGTGGCTGTCTGAAATTGCAGATAGTACTGAACTCTGAATGTATGTTTTTTCCTCTACGTACATATACTCGACGGTTTCTCTTTAGCGTGTCCACATTGAAAGCATCAATACTCATGCACTTCGGGGCCATCACTAAGGAAAATAAGTGTTACTTGAACGCAAGCCCTGCAGTGCCACTCCAGTCGATCTGATAACCAAGATGGCTACTCAGTGACTAATGCGGGAGTAGCATTATACAGCACGGGTACGCTGGATAAAGGAATGATTGATGATCTGGGTGGTTTGGAGTGAGACTTTATCACGCTGATTTGAAGTTTAAGGATTGTTTATTTTTGCAATTTTCCATTTAATGTTTTCAGATCGCAGTTGACCATAGGTAAATGAAACCATTGAAAGCAAAACCGCAGAAGAGGGGGGACTACTGTATACACTCTGCCGCTAGTTCATCCACTTAGATTTGCCTTTAAGTATCATCTGTATGTCAGTGGATGTCCCAGTTTATATCCCTACCCTAAACTATGCTTCTGAGCTAGCAGACTCACATGTACAACTCCCTCCTGACATCTCAATTCCTACATTTCTCAGACATCACAAACTTGACATGTCTAAAACTAAACTCTTGAAACATCTCCCACAAAAAACAAACAAAACAAATCAGTAAATGGCCCAGCCCTGTATATAATTG